AGAACTCTTGAGGTTCAATTGTGAATCTATATATATATATATATATATATAAATATATATATATATATATATATATATATATATATATATATATATATACATATATATATATATATATATATATATATACATATATATATATATATATATATATATATATATATATATATATATATATATATATATATATTTATATATTTATATATTTATATATTTATACAATTTAAAATGTATTCTACAAAAAGAGTGCTCAATGTTCTTAAAAGAACAGAGCAATTACAAATTAGTATTAGATTTCTGATGAGTCTTTATTGATGAAACACAGTGTTAAATGAGAAAAAAATTTGCTAAGTGATTTTCTACTAATTATATATATATATATATATATATATATGTATATATATATATATATGTATATGTGTACATATATATATATATATATATATATATATATATATATATATATATATATATATATATATATATATATATATATATATATATATATTTGAATATATATATATATTTGAATATATATATATTTGAATATATATATATATATATATATATATATATATATATATATATATATATATATATATATATATATATATATATATATATATATATATATATATATATATATATATATATATATATATATATATATATATATATATATATATATATATATATATATATATATATATACATATATATATATATATATATATATATATATATATATATATATATATATATATATATATATATATATATATATATACATATATATATATATATATATATATATATATATATATATATACATATATATATATATATATATATATATATATATATATATATATATATATATATATATATATATATATGAGAGGTTTATATATATACATATATATATATATATATACATATATATATATATATATATATATATATGTATATATCAGGCCTTGCGATAAAGCGTCGGGCGATGTGAATTTTACGTCGTCCAAGAGCGATTTTGCGTGTAGCTAGGGCTATTTGCGTCGAGCAAAAAATTTTTTGTTTGAGTATATTTAAAGATATTTTTGAGCGGAATTTTAATGAAGTAATTTACGATTATTTTAACATTTAATAAAGTATTTTAAAAACCGCACGCAGTTGAAATAAAAGTTTGAATTAAAAAGAATTGAATATGCTCATTATTTACAAGTAGAAAAAGTTCAGATTAAAAAAAAAAGTTTAAATCTTTTAAGCTAACATTTTAATAAAATTATTCAGCAATAGCAAAGTTGTCGATAAAGTTAAACAAAAATACTTTCTTTTAGTTTTAGATTTTTAACTTAAATAATTATTTTACGGGGGTTTGTTAGGTTTTAAAATTATTCCATAGATTTAAAAATATTTATTAACTGTTAGACGTATTTAAAGTATGTAAGAGTAATTTCGAGGAAACATTTTAAAAATTGGTGAGCGCAAATAAAATAAAAAAAAAGGATTAATATTAAAACGTATTCTACTTGATTCAATAAAAAAAGTACAGTTATTAAAATTTTTGTAAATCAAAAAAATTACTTAAATAATAACGATCGCTTTTATGTTAAAAGTTACCGAAACTCATGAAAGCGTGCTCAAGAACAGCTTCAGAAAAATAGAACGTCAATAGTTTTTCGAATAATTTTTAATAATAATTTTTAAGAATAATTTTTTCGCTGAAATATTTCTTTTATACCTATAAGATTTTTATTCTAACATTTTATTTTATTTTACTAGAAATAAAATTCATTGTTAACATTAAAAATCTATTCAAAACGTTCGTTTAAGTTTTTTATTAATACGAGTGATTGTGCTTATCAACCGCTTTATGAAAATAAATAAAAATAAATAAATAAATATTATATAAAATCGCTTGTAAAAATATTAGCTATTGCACAGTTTTTATTCGTACAATATTAAAATTTCCAGTTTATTACTCGCTGACTTTTTAAAAAGAAAAAATAATTATTTGAAAAACTTTAAATTACATATTTAAGAAAAAAAAAATCAAATATTTTATAATCTATTTTAAACTTAAGTTATGTTTTTTATTCATTTAGTATGGACAAAACGTGACAAACGTCGAGAAAATAAACATTTACATTTTAAAAAACGAAACATTCCAAAACATTTTTAAATAATAACATTTCTACATAAACGATTTAAAGTAGTTTTGCGGTAATTTAGTAAATTGGTGCAGTTAATGTCGATAAATATGAAAAGCAAATAAAAAGAATTTAATGACGTCAAAAATCACGTCGTGCTTATGCGTCGCGCAGTTCTTATTCATCGCAAGGCCTGATATATATATATATATATATATATATATATATATATATATATATATATATATATATATATATATATATATATATATATATATATATATATATATATATTATATATATATATATATATATATATATATATATATGAGAGGTTTAAATATATATATTAGAACTAGATGAATAAGAGTTTTTGGAGCACTTAGGAACAGCCACAGAAAAATGATGAGACTTAATTGAATCACGAGTAAAACAAGAATGAATTTTAGTAGATGGAACAAGACACGCTAGCACTTTAGAGCTGTGCCCATTATAATGTTTGTAGAAAAGAGAAAGAGAAGCAACATTACGACAAGGTGGTAATGGTTGGAGATTGGCTGCAAGAGCATGTCCAACTATGTTTACAATGCGTTTTTGCACCTTGTCTAAAAGAGAAATGGCTTCATTAGAAGATCCGCCCCAGGTATGATAATAGTATTTCATATAAGGCCGGATTTGAGATTTATAGAAATAGAGAAGAGAATCCGGAGTAAGAAAGTGTCGAGCTCGATAAATAGATGCAACTTAAAACTTAATTT